TGGAGATGGAACAGTTGAGAGGAAGCACCAGCAGCACTTGTCAATGGAATAGTAGTGACACCGGTAGCAAATGAACCATCAGAGTTAGTACTTGGAAGTAACTGACAATACCAGTAGCTGGTTGACCATCTGAACCAGTATAGGTGGTTGTGTATGGAGATGGAACTGTGTGAGAGGAAGCACCAGCAGCACTTGTCAATGGAATAGTAGTGACACCGGTAACAAATGAACCATCAGAGTTAGTACTTGGGAAGTAACTGACAATACCAGTAGCTGGTTGACCATCTGAGCCAGTATAAGTGGTTGTGTATGGAGATGGGACAGTTTGAGCACCTGAAGTACATGTTGGGCACAAGGTTGGGGAAATTGAAGAAGCAGGGAAGCTCGTACTCGATGCTGCGACAGAAGATTCGCTCTGGCTTGAAACTAGACTTGAAACTGACGAAGCACTTGAGGACTCACTTGAAGCTGGTTGTTCACTGGATGGAGCAGCTGATGATTGTGTTGAACCTGAGAAGGATGAAACGATGGATGACTTATCTGAAACTGATGAGACTAAACTTGACACTGGCGCAACGGAGGATTCACTAGATGTTGATGCAACGCTTGATTCACTTGTACCAGTTTGAAATGAGCTGGATTCGGATGATGAACTGTCAGGTATCTCAGATTTGGATATCACTGATGTTGGGAAGTTTGATCCAGAAGAACCAGGTATAGTCGAGCTTGAATAAAGGAAACTTGATTCAGTTGGTTCTTGACTTGTTGATATCAGAATACTTGAGTTCTGGTACGTTGGGACAAATGACGAAGAAAAGGAGGTATCTGAGCTTGATGAGACTCTTGAGGAAGGTATGATGGTAGGGAACACTGTTGAGGAAGAACCACTTCCAGATTCTGAGGCACTTGAGCTAGAGATCAATTGAGAATTAGTTGAAATTATTGATTCACTAGAAGCTGATGAACCGACTGATGAAGCAGCTGAAGATTCACTAGAAGCTAAACTGGAAGCTGAGGATTCACTAGAAGCTGATGTAGCAATTGATGAAGCAGCTGAAGATTCACTAGAAGCCAAACTGGAAGCTGAGGATTCACTAGAAGCTGATGTAGCAATTGATGAAGCAGCTGAAGATTCACTAGAAGCCAAACTTGAGGCTGAGGATTCACTAGAAGCTGATGAAGCAATTGATGAAGCAGCTGAAGATTCACTAGAAGCTAAACTGGAAGCTGATGAAGCAATTGATGAAGCAGCTGAAGATTCACTAGAAGTCAAACTTGAGGCTGAGGATTCACTTGAAGCTGATGAAGCAATTGATGAAGCAGCTGAAGATTCACTAGAAGCCAAACTGGAAGCTGATGAAGCAATTGATGAAGCAGCTGAAGATTCACTAGAAGCTAAACTGGAAGCTGATGAAGCAATTGATGAAGCAGCTGAAGAT